TTATTTGCAATATCTAGTATATGTATGAGTCAAGCAGAAAAGGTCAGATAATGTGATGTCAGGAAAATGAACCCTTAGATATGTATTTTAATGTTTTTTTTCTCTCACAGGGACTTTCCTGCCCCAGTTGGCTTTTAACCTCAATTCTCAGATGTCTGCTACTGAGTAGCTAGGATTATAGGTGTGAGCCACCAATGCCTGGCTAAAATAATTTTTAAAATTGTAAATTATGATGGCAAAACTCGTAGTTTCATAATCTGATCTAAAAAGCCTAATCAATTGCCTGGAGCAGTAATGATTGATGCATATATTTTCTTAAGTGGTTGCATTAAAATACTATGGATGTTGACCTTAAAAATGAGTTTTAGATTTTATTTTGGAAGTTAGAAATAAAACTTACATACTTGCCCATCTGACATTTCTTTGTGTTAACTATTGAATTTAATTTCAGAGAACTTTTTTGCACATCTTAGTTAACAAGGTTTCTAATGAAAATAACTTGAAAACTTTCTCCACATCCATTCACTGCTAAAAACACTTAGGAAAAAAGCCCACAAAATTTAGGACCAGAAATGGTTCGGAGATTTTTTTTTTAGACTTTGGAATATTTGTGAACATACATAATTACATATAGCAATTATAATAATTTTGAACATGAAAAAATTTCATAGTATGGAATTTTCAGTTGTATCATGTCAGCTCTCAAAAGATTTGATATTTTGGAGCATTTTAGTTTTGGGTCAAGGATGCTCAGTTTTTCATTTGAGGGATGGTTTCAGTAAAGATTTTTAAAAAAAGGTACATTATCTATTTTCCCATCTGAATCACTTGGAGAGATTCTCTAAAAGATATATTTCTAGGTCCTAATTGTCTGGAGATTGTTTTAGTTTACAGGGGTAGGGAACCTTTCTGCCAAGGGCTATTTGGATATTTATAACATCATTCAAAGGCCATATAAAATTATCAGTACAGACAGAAAACCTCAGGCAGCCAATGAGAAGCATATGTGTCTGTCCTCTCAGGTACAAAATGATTTCTCAGACCTTATATGGCCCTGGGCCTGACCTTTCTCCACCCCTGACTTAGTAGGTCTGGAATGGAGCTTAGGAATCTGTATTTTTTCAGAAGCTTTCCAGGTGACTGTGACCAACATCTGTATTGGAAAATTCCTACTCTCCCTAATGTCTCCTTCCTATATCATGGAGGAGAGAATGAACTATGTGTCATACTGTCCAGTCTGTAGAAATTATATGGATTGTACATAGTGTTCTCAGATAAAATACAGCTAGGTACCTGGATAAATCTGAATTTAAGTTAATCAATGAAATATTTTCAGAATGTTTTCCATGTAGTGTACTTTTGAGCTGCTGGGAATGCAAAAATATTTGTTTCTAATTTTAGTAGTTAGGCTTTTTTTGGTGTGTAGTGTTCTTGTGTACACACAATGTCTGCTTTTTATACTTCCATCTTTTTTTGGTTTCTCATGATTTTAAACTAATTTTTGTCAGCTTACTATATTTGTAGTTACTTTGATGAGGATGCCATTTCCTGCTATGACAACAGCTATTATTCTTATATTTAACAACTCAGTAGAGAGGGACACAGCACACCATGCAGGCCCACAGAAGCTAGCATTTGGGAAGAAAGAACAAGCAAGGACTTGCAAGCTTTGTAGTATTAAGAGGATGGGGGATCCCTGACTCCAGAGGAAAGATGTGATTGTTTTGTTTGAGTGGTTCTGCAGACTGGCAAGAAAATGAAAAAACTTCCACTCAAAAATAGGCAGGAACTATATCTGTTTGCTGTGATTAGGATTGCTTGGCTCCAGGACCTTATGGAGGGGAACAGAACTTGCAGTTAGGCCATTCAGGATACACATAGTAGTAGAGGTCCTAAACTACAAGTATTTCACTATAGGATTCAAAGTTTAAAATACTCTGCATATGGCAAAGTGCACACTGTGTATAACCTCACTACAGTTGAAACGATATGTGCATGAAGGAATGAAACACCAGAATCTTGTTTGAGAAAGTGAGTTTATGTAACAAACAACAACAAAAAAAGAATAGATGAAGCCCAGCACCAATAGCTCTTGCCTATATTTCTAGTTACTCAGGAGGCTGAAACCTATAGATCAGTCAAGGTTCAAAGCCAGCCTGGGTCGAGAAGTTTGTGAAATTCCATCTCCAGTCTATGAGCAAAAAACTGGCTTAGAGTCTTGGCTCAAGTGGCAGAGTGATGAGCAAAAATACCCAGCAAGAGCATAAGGCCCCGAGTTTAACAGTAAGGAGTCCTCTGCAAATACAATTCTAAACATCCAAATAGGATAGTCTCCCTTCTTGGTTTTCTTTTCTTTTCAGATTAAATCAGGTCTTGACTTTAGAGGATTTTGAAAGCAAAGGGGCTGAAAGTTATCCAATTTTTACAGGGTAATTAAGGTAAATATGTTTAGCCATAGATGAAATATTACAGAAATTACCCTTTGTCTCATTATAAAGTCTAGACAAGAATAATTTATTTTCTCCACTATCTTGAGTTGATTGTGAAATATTTTAAATGAAAGTGGTTGATAGGATATTTTAATTATCTAAAACTCAAGTAGAGTCCTCTATCCTCAAATTATTTAGCTTGATTTTAAAGAAGCCATGGCCACATTTTGAGCTGCATCAATATATAACTTTAGTAAATTTTTAAAAGAAGAATTATTAATTCTTAAGATAAATATTGGAAATCTTAAAAGAAGTTGTTGGTGAAGAATAATAGGTTATCATATTGCTCTCACATTAACATTGAGATTATTTTAGCCTCTAGTAAACACTATGATAGTTTGTCTTCTTGGTAATAACTCTTCTGCTAATGCTGCTAAAATTACTATTTGTTTGTTTTTGGAGCCAGTCCTATGGCTTGAACTCAGGTCCTGAGACTGAGCTGTTTTGCGCAAGGCTAGTGCTCTACTACTTGAGCCACAGCTCTACTGCAGCTTTTTTTGAGTTGTTTATTGGAAATAAGAGTCTCATGGACTTTCAGATCTTAGCCTCCTGAGTAGCTAGGGTTACATGAATGAACCACTGGTGCCCAGATCTCTCAGTTTGTTTGAGGACCCATTATAGCATTTACTACCTGAAGGATGACCACTAATTTTAGACACTTATCAGTGGATTTGGTGGATTTATTAAAAATGTGTTAAAATGTGGCTTTTATATCTAACACCAAAAGATAAATTACCAGTTTTAAGTCCCATACTTTACATTTAGTCTGGGCTAATTGTGTTTTTTGGATAGGCTAAGATTTAGGTTGAAGTTCTTTTTTAAGTTTTATTACTGCTTATAGCTAATTGTTTTACTGTAGTTTTTTGAAAATGTCCTTTCTTTAATAAATAATTTTCTATTTTTGTTGACAATCATTTGGTCTGGTATATGTTTGTGTATTTCTCTGCTTTTACTTCCTTTCTGTTGATTGCTTCTCCTTCATTAAACACACATTGTCTTTATGTGTGACTGTAACTATGGGAGGAATTGAAATTATATAGCCTATTTGTCAGCTTTGTTCTTTTTCAGCATTGATTTGGCTATACTATTTCTTTTTTCTTCACTACAATACAGTGCATTAAAGACCTGTTTTATTAAACTAATTTTGGTTTGTTTAACCTCTCAGGTACATTCTTACTGGTTAATCTTTTTGTCAAAATAGCTTTTACTTCTTAAAATAGACTTGTCAAATCTCTTACTTATATTTGAACTAAAAATTTCCTGAGAACTAGGTAGGTCTCAGGTTTCAACTTGTACTTTTTTTCCCTTTTCATTTCCCTTTTTGCCTTTTTTCTTTCCATGTTTTTTCACTAATTTGTGACTTTCTAAATATGTATTATCAGTTTTCTTTAACATACCTAAATGCATCTTACTTCACACAAATATTTGTTAAGTTTTTCATTTTGGCTTAAAAGAAATAGGAAAATGTTTATTTGTAGACAGCTTTGGATTCTTATTATTACTATATATGTAATATATGTTGTATATATGCCATATATTGTGTATATAATTTATATCGAACCTTGTTTTGTGATTCTCAATGTTTAAAACAGTAATAGGAAACTTGGGTGATGAAATGTCACTGTTTTTAAAATCTTAATTCTTAGTACAACTTGAAAATTGTATAATTTTGTACACTTTTTTTGTTATTAGCAAAGATGTAAGTTATGTAATGTTTTATATCATCATTTCTGTTTCAGGTCCGTATAGCAGCAAAGTTCATCATTCATGCCCCTCTTGGAGAATTTAATGAAGTTTTTAATGGTGAGTATTTAACACCAAGGCTTACTGAT